TACTATAGGATACTTATACTAACAAGGAGATGCATTGAAAAACCAGCTTTAATTGCTTAAATAATAGAACCAGTAATTCTTGTTTGGCAAAAACAAATTTGCTATGAAATTGAAGTTTGTAATGCAATATTTAATTGAAGAATTGTCTATTACATAATAACTTATTCAGTTATAAAATTAACTACAATAAAATGTATACTAAAGTTATATACTCAAAATTTAATACTTTTACATTAAACATGTATCATTTTTACAAAAATATAGAAATAAAAAAAAAACAATTTGTTCAATTTGCATTTAATTTTAAGATTTTGGAAAGTCACTTTACTTTTCAATATTTTATAATTAAGTTACATTTACAACAATTTTTCTTTTACCGTAGATATTTTTAACTAGTTAAATTAAATTAATCTAAAAAAACTGTATAAGAATGAATTTTTTAAATAGTTTTCTATTATTATTACAAATCCTGTTTTTAACACTTTTCTGTTATAAAAAAAAAGATTTTTATAGAAATAATTTAATAAACTTCATTTTTACGTATTTAATATTTATAGTATTAAATTTTAATTTTTAACATTCGATTCAATAAATTCAAACAGCAGAAACATTTTAACAATCCGATTGAACAGGATTTATCTCAATACTATAATTAGCTTTTCCTTTTTTCCACAGAACAAGAGATTTTCCCCGCAAACGTTCCTCTCTTCTCTTCGAGGTCGTCACGGAAAATTTTTAAACAATTTTCCGGCAGATTATGTGCGACATATAATATAAGCCTATTAAATATAAACGGGGTTCGTTATTAATGAACATGGCGCGTGTTCGTCGAGCCTTGAGTATATACGTACCAAATTTTTTTTTATTCCACATCGAATTTCCTTCCATCTCTCTCTCCAACATTCACAGTTTTTGTATGGTGAAAAAGATAGATAGAGAGAGAGAGAGAAAGGGGGTGGTTTTCGCGGGGGCGGCGAGCTCTGGTCGCTCGCTGTATATAAAACGATCGGGCGAAGCGAGCGGAGGGATCCAACCATGAAATTGAATTATACAAGAGAGAACCCCACTTTACTACATACATACATATATATATACGTACACACCAACACACATTTATATTTTCCAATATAACAACACACGACAAAATTATTTCTCCCTCTCTTTCCGCATGTTTCTTTTTTTTTTATTTTCGTTTATTCCTTCCCTCCTCTTTTACAGCCGAAAATATACACCGACATTAACTAAATCCTCTCCCATCAACCGAATCCTACACGAAAAGTGTTATAAATGATACAAACATAAACTTTAACAAGGAACAAAATGCATAAACGAAACAGAAAACAAGATTTGTTAGCAATTCTTATGATTTAAAGCAATTTGTTAGCAATTAATTCAATTAGTAAAGAAAGTAAAACGTATTAAGACTTACCTTAAAATATACCTAAATGAGTAGTAATAAGTAAAGGAAGTGATTAGGTAATAAATTTTATAAATCCTATATTTTTTTCTACAGAAATTAAACCGTTTAATATGTATATAATTAAGTTAATATATTTACAATATAATTAAGTAATTATTAATAATATAATAATATGTTTTGTTTGTTTTTTTTGGTTTTGGTATATAATACAAAGAAATGATTGCAGAGGATACTTAAATCAACAATTAGTACATACATATATCATACATATTTGTCTTTTTACTTAAGTAATTCATAAATTTACGTTTATATAATTTATTTTATATTTTTTTTTTACAATTTATACAGACAGAGAAAGAATGCATTCAGTTTCCTGAACGTTTTAGATTCTTTTATATTTATATTTTTTTTTTATTTAATTCTTCAGCATTTGCACATACCCATTTTAATCTCACGTTGAAATGTATTGGATTGGCAAGAAAATACGTTCGGTTTTTATAATGTGAAATAAAACTGTGTTTTTTTGTATACAAAGAATGAACTTTAAATAATTATATATTTTCTATGACCTTTTGTCATCTTTCTGGCAACTTCTAGTCCGTATCAGCAAAAAAAAACTGAAAAAGTGCGATTTCAGGTTATCATAATTAGTCAAATAGTTGCCAATTAAGTCTCATTTTTTAAATAATTCTGATACTTAAACTATCATTAATTGACTTCTAAATAAAGCTAAAAATAATAGTTTTCAATGGCAAAAGGAACAATTTCATAACATTGACGTCAATTCAAAACTAATAATAACGAAATTAGTTTTTTGCCAAGCCAATAAATTATTGTATAATATGAGATTAAATTTAAGTTGTTTTTTAAACATAAATATATATTATATAAAATAAGAAAATCACATGTTTTTGGTAACTGATTGGGTTATAATAAAAATTAAATGTTTAGTAAATAATAATTATAATTATAATAGGGCGTTAATAGCCCTTTGTATGTATTTATTCAACAAATTTTGTTACTTGTGGACTAAAATATTGTTGCTTTGGAGACTATTTACAAGGTTTTTTTTGTATTTTAAATAAATTAATGTGGTTGTCTCCTCGAATTTTGTCTTAATTTCTAATTAAGTCTGTGGGGGAGATGGGTCTAGGCTTACTTTCAAGAGCCCAGATTGTGTCCGTGATTGGCTAAATGGAAGTAAGGGGTGTAACTGCCGGATCCGGTGGCCTGCAGAGGGTAAACACCGCCGTAGGGGACGTGATGGGAGTAGAGGAGGCCGGAATGCGTATGGTGACCCGGAAATCCGGGGAATGAACCGGAAGCGCCGACGTTCGGCGGCGGCACCGTCGGTGAGTTCACGTCCATCCCAGGATTCTGCTTCTTCCATTTGGTCCTCCTGTTCTGAAACCATATCTTCACCTGCGTCTCCGTTAAACTCAAACTGAGCGCAAGATTCAGACGTTCGCAGACGCTCAGGTATCTCGTTGTCTTGAACTTATTCTCGAGAGCCACGAGTTGCTCATAGGTGAAGGCTGTCCTCGCCCGACGCGGTTTCCCCGTGTTTCCTTGCGATTTCGAATCGGATTTCTTTTTCTTCGAGTTCGGATCTTTGAGGTCGTCGCTGATATCGCTCTGCATGTCATCATCATCGTCCGAGTGATGCTCTTTACCTGCAAGCGGAAGAAACTCGGATTAGATATATTTTGGAACAATCGAAACAGTTCAAGTTGAACTTCTTGGCGTTACTCGAGGCAAGGCCAACCCTCAAACACAACCCTCATCCCCATCCTCCTCGCAAGAATCGCGCAACCAACTCCGAGACATGTAATTAACAGTCTTAGCTTAATTGCCTCCGGGCTCGTTAGCAAGCCGTGAACTTTGTAATTAATCCTTTGGTTTTGCTTTAAAGCGGAGACATATTAATTATGGAGGGCTAAACTCCCTCTAGAAATAATTAATAGATGCATACGTGCACATACATTCATTTGAATCTCCCGCATAAAAACAAAATCATTTCCTTTTTCGAACTTAAACTTATTTCAATTTATTTATTTACTCATAATTGTAATTTTTGCAGATCCATCAAAATGTTTTCAATTATATATAACTTTATATATATAATTCATTTATTACTTTTTCCTTTCTTTCATCTTATTTAAGTGATGCTTAGATCATGAATATTCTATACGAGATTTATGTAAAGAGAAATTCATATTTATATCGATGATTCAATACAAAATTTCATTTCAGTTTTGCAAAACAAACATAACTGTTAATTTAACATATACAATATTATATCTAATATTTTATATAGTTTTATTAAAAACTCCATTAGTTGACTTGTTTCATAACAAGTTTGATAAGTTAATTTGTAACTTTATTTTTGTACGAAAAGTTAATACAAATGTATTTATAATAGATTTTCTTCCTTGAAATTCTTCGAACCTCTAAAGTTTTATCCAATACTTTAAAACAGATCTAAACTGTGTGTTTCTATATTAAAGAATGAACTTTAAATAATTATATATTTTCTATTTTGTTCTATGACCTTTTGTCATCTTTCTGGCAACTTCTAGTCCTTAAAAAAACTGAAAAAGTGCGATTTCAGGTTATCATAATTAGTCAAATAGTTCCCAATTAAGTCTCATTTTTTTAAATAATTCTGATACTTAAACTATCACTAATTGACTTCTAAATAAAGCTAAAACTAGAAATAATTAATAGATGCATACGTGCACATACATTCATTTGAATCTCCCGCATAAAAACAAAATCGTTTCCTTCTTCGAACTTAAACCAAATTACATCAGATATTTATATTTAAACCACATTTCAATTTATTTATTTACTCATAATTGTAATTTTTGCAAATCCATCAAAATGTTTTCAATTATATATAACTTTTTATATATATATTTTATTTATTACTTTTTCCTTTCTTTCATCTTATTTAAGTGATGCTTAGATCATGAATATTCTATACGAGATTTATGTAAAGAGAAATTCATATTTATATCGATGATTCAATACAAAATTTCATTTCAGTTTTGCAAAACAAACATAACTGTTAATTTAACATATACAATATTATATCTAATATTTTATATAGTTTTATTAAAAACTCCATTAGTTGACTTGTTTCATAACAAGTTTGATAAGTTAATTTGTAACTTTATTTTTGTACGAAAAGTTAATACAAATGTATTTATAATAGATTTTCTTCCTTGAAATTCTTCGAACCTCTAAAGTTTTATCCAATACTTTAAAACAGATCTAAACTGTGTGTTTCTATATTAAAGAATGAACTTTAAATAATTATATATTTTCTATTTTGTTCTATGACCTTTTGTCATCTTTCTGGCAACTTCTAGTCCTTAAAAAAACTGAAAAAGTGCGATTTCAGGTTATCATAATTAGTCAAATAGTTCCCAATTAAGTCTCATTTTTTTAAATAATTCTGATACTTAAACTATCACTAATTGACTTCTAAATAAAGCTAAAACTAGAAATAATTAATAGATGCATACGTGCACATACATTCATTTGAATCTCCCGCATAAAAACAAAATCGTTTCCTTCTTCGAACTTAAACCAAATTACATCAAATATTTATATTTAAACCACATTTCAATTTATTTATTTACTCATAATTGTAATTTTTGCAGATCCATCAAAATGTTTTCAATTATATATAACTTTATATATATAATTCATTTATTACTTTTTCCTTTCTTTCATCTTATTTAAGTGATGCTTAGATCATGAATATTCTATACGAGATTTATGTAAAGAGAAATTCATATTTATATCGATGATTCAATACAAAATTTCATTTCAGTTTTGCAAAACAAACATAACTGTTATTTTTACATATACAATATCATTTCTAATATTTTAGTAAAGCAAAATTTTTATATAGTTTTATTAAAAACTCCATTAGTTGACTTCTTTCAAAACAAGTTTGATAAGTTAATATAAGTTAATATAAGTTAATATAAGTTAATATAAGTTAATATAAGTTAATATAAGTTAATATAAGTTAATATAAGTTAATATAAATTAATATAAATGTATTTATAATTGATTTTCTTCCTTGAAATTCTTCGATCCTCTAAAGTTTTATCCAATACTTTAAAACAGATCTAAACTGTGTGTTTCTATATGGCTCATGGATTTGTCACTTTCAATAAACATGTACATCGATTTTATCCCGTCTACTCGTCACTTTCTTTCATCCTATTTAATTTGAGCCCAGATCCTGTGCAATTTGTATGTGAGGATGAGAGAAGAGAAGGAGAGTGAGGTTTGTATCGCTGATAGAGTGATTGAACTGATTCAATAATCGGCTACGAGCCGGTATTTAAGTGGCGGTTGAATCGACAAATCCGGGGCTCAACTATGATTAAGCTCCGGTAATTCCGGCACATTACGGCCCGAACCTGCGGAAATCGATATACTACATACATACAGCACCCAAAAAACCCCCTTCTACACTCACACGTACGCAAAACAACACCCCCTAAAACACAGCCGCCCCCGATGAAGCCTAGGCAGCAGCAGCAGCCGCCGCCGCACGCAGACACGACAAACGTGTTAACCGCATTCATTTGTTTGTTCACCGCTAAAACAATGCGATGCGGTTCCACCGTCAAGCCAAAATTTTGTTACACCCTGCACATCACAGCAGCGAAAACTTCGATCTCTCTTCCAAAATTTAAAAAAAAAATCACAACAAATAGTTTTAAATTTATCAACCACAACATTTCCTCTCATACTCATTTAAATCAATACATTAATAAAGAAATACAGACAGTATTTTTTTTACTTATTACTTATTTTTCAATTGGATCATAAAGTTTTAAACTTTTCAATACAAAAACTTGAATAATATATATTTTGTAATGAAAACTGTTGTTTTTTTTTCTACAATTAATTGTAAAGAACTATCTATTTTTTTATGTCTGATGTAACAGTGTGTTCAGAGCTATTTTCATGTTAGAGTGGGAACGTTAGGTTATATAATCCATGTTCATTGATGAGCGTACAACGTATACACGTGTTCTACAAGCGACATATGATTGAAATTAAATTTAATTATACAAACATCATTAATTACATCCGAGCAATATAATTTACTTGTGAATTAAATCACACGATGTTACAGTTAATTAATATTGATTACTAGACAAATTGTCTTTGCTATAATTTACTAATTCGAACTTTACTAACTTTACACACGAAATGCACGAAGAAAAACTTTTAGATTATATAAAAAAAACAACAATATTGGTGTTGTTGTTATGAGATTTGCGTTGAAAATAGCTGTGAGAAAATGGTATAAGTGCGCTTCGTAAAATACTAATTAATGTCTGCTAGATTTCGTGAAAAACAATTTAATTCGAAGTTCGCGAAGGGCTCTAAATTTAGAATCCGGATGGCGCACGAGGCGAACGTTTTCTTTGCTTCGTTGCAGGAAAAAAAAGGAAGGATAAAGCCAGGGCATCAATAAAATTCGCCTTTTATTGGTGAGCATTATTAACTGAATCAATTTTCTCCTCTGCAGAACGGTTATTTTATACACTTACACCTCATATCTTTTATTAGGCGACTTAATGTACCGTGAAATATATGTTACAAAAGAATCACACAATCTTCCCCTTCATTCTTTGATATCCAAATTTTACATTCTTATTGTTAAAGATAAATTTAAAGATTTGTTTAAGCTCAAATTAATTTTACTTTAATATAGCTAATTATCAAACAGATATGAAAAAAATTACACGCTAAAGTCGAAATATTAAACATGAATTTTCAGTAATGAAAATTTGTCGTGCAAATAACAATTTCATTAATGTTTTTCCGTGCATTATTAATTAACACGTTTTTCCATCGACAATGTAATTAAAACGCATAGAAATTAATCAACAAAGTAATTACGAATGTGTTAATTAGTTTTTACATAATTAATAGCAATAATGGTTATTAATATCAGGTCAAGTATTTGCGTTCTTGTTTGATTTATTTATTTATTTTTTTAATTTCTCGTCTGCAAATGCGTCCGTTCGTTGCGTAATTAGTGTTTTAATATAATTAATTTGTTGGATTCTCGCAAATGCTCAGAAATGAATTTAAAAAAACGCGTTTCTATAATTAAAATATTCGCCGTTTTCGTTTCAATTATTCAGCGACACTAATTAACAATTAGTTAATTATGCACTAAATGCAGTTTGCGTTCGCGCGAGTTCACGCATCGTCGGATTCTCATTTTATTGTCGTTTTCGGTTCTGATAATTTCGACGAAAATTCAATTTACAAAATTTCATTTTAATATATTAATTTTTAGGTATTTTTTTTTATAATTTTATTACTATTAACAAAATATGAACTGATTGAAATAAAACAAATAATTGTGATTGAAATTAAATCGTTATTCGATTAAAAAATTCGCATCATTGACTTCAAATATGATTTTTGTTAGTAAAAGAGCTTTGATAAATTACGTTCGAACAACGAATGAAAATCATACAAAAATATGATATACAAAATAAAAATCATATTTTTGATAAATAAATTAAATGCAACAATCGAAATAAAACCGTCCGAACGCACACACAATCGAACAATTCATTATTTTTGTGTTTGTTTTTATTTATTTATTAAAATACATTTTTATATTATCGAACGTTTATATAATATTCGTATTATACGCATTAAGTGAGTCGCGAAAATCCGAGCTTTTAATTAAAATAATAGCATTTGTTCAACTGTGAAAATTCGCTCTGTCGATTTTCGCAAAAATGTTATTTCGTGATTTGTTTCTTGAATAAACGGAACGAAAACATCGCTGTTGCCTCTAATAATAACCGGTTAAGGCACTTGCCAAGTTATAGTCCATTAAGATTATAATTCTTCACGGTACAAAGAGTATAATTTACCTTTTTTTTCTTCTCTTAGATTAGTGCTGAAAGAGCGTATCTTTTTCTTATATTTTTTTAATGGATTTGATGATGAGTTTCGAGTGAAATGTCAATAGTGATGAGGTTGTTATAATAGAGTTGTAAGCGCTTTCAGTTCCGTTAGTAACACCTAAAAGTTGGCATGAATATCCAAGATATTACAGTTAAAAAAAAAAGATGATTTTGTAAATTCATTTCTAGAAATTATTAAAACCATTTGTACTAATTTATTATTATTACTTCTAGTTATCGCTCTATATATATATAGATATAGGAATATAAGTACATAAGATTAATTGTGGTGTTTCTTCTCGTAAACTATTATATTAAATATTCTTACCAAGATAAACTTTGTAAGAAAATATAACTACATAATAGTTTAAGATAAAGTAAGTAAGAAGATCGAAGTATATCACAGATAAGATAAATTTAGTTTAATGACCAAATTAGTGAGGTAAACATATTTAAGTTGGTCATTAAAATATTGTACATGTTTTCTTTCGAGCGTTTTCATTTATCTCTAGATATACAAACTCGAAATTGCACAAAATATATAAATATTTAGATATACAGCAGTTAATTAGCATTAGTATCAGTGTGCACATATGAAGTAAATTATGTTCGTTATTATTACCAAATATTGAACTTCTTATCATAGTTCTACTGCGTAAGATAACATTTGGTAATTAATTTTGTGTGCTTAGTATGAAGTAAAAAGTTTTAATTACCAATAATCACAGTTTTGTAAATACTAACTAACTGATACAATATTGAAAGTTCATATTAAATTAACATTACTAACCGAATTTCTTACAAACAATATTAAAATCTTTAAATATGAAAGTAAGATAATGAATATGAAATTTCCTTTTGTTCCAACGAATAATTTACAAATTTATTTTGATAACTAAAAAAAAAAACATAATAGATGAGATTTTTTTAAGAAGTTTACTAATAACAATTTATAGATTTTACTTATTTCACTTACATTTTTTTTAATTAAAGCCAATACAAATATGTAAATAAGTTAGTAAGATACTTTTATTTTGAGAAGAAAAATTAAGTGTACTAAGTAGATTTTTTTTACTAATGTGATAATTTTTAATAAGATAATAAACGTATAAGATAATGAAGTATATGTATCAAATCTACATTTTTTTTATAGGGATCTGAGGATTATTAGTAAAGAATAAGGTAATACAAAATTTGGTGGTTTTTACTATTTACTAATTAGTAATAAGTTATTTTTTATATTAGATTTGATTACTTCTTATTTTTGTAAGAAAATAAAGTGTATCAAATATTGAAGTTGGGTAAATAATCTACATTTTTCTTATACGGAATGAGGACTAATGACATAATATAGTGTTGAGGTATAATTTCGATTAATGGTTTTTAAGTTTAGTATAAAGTGAAGATGATATTGAAGGTTTGAATGTGGATTTATACCTGGTTCGCTTCCATCAAAATCTGAAGATCCTATGGACTCCTGATGTGGTTTCCAGCAGCAGAGGCCTTCACTAAAAACTGTCTGTCGACCCGTGAATTTGTTGGGGTCCAGAATGTTTTCCACAGAGAATGCCAGTCGCCTGTTCTGATGTGGAACCACCGACGGACTGACATCCCTCGGACTGTCCGACCTGCTCACATCACTGCAAACACTCTCGGCCCGCTTATCACTGACACAATTCCCATCATCGTCCTTGAAGGCATTCCCGTAAGCTGCACCATCCGTCGCCTTCTGCAGCATCTCGAAGGACGCTCGAAACTTCTCGTGGCGTCGCGTCAAGTCAACAGGACAAAGCGACTCTCCCTCGTCCTCGTTCTCCACGTCCACTTCAACGTTGAGATCATCATCGTCTTCCGTGTCACTAGTCTTCTCGCACATCTCAACATCTCTCGGATCATCAGCGATGCGTTTCTGCTGCAGAAACAGTTGCGATTCCTCCAGCTTCTCCGCTTGGTCCTTGCACGTCGGGGACGCTGGTTGCGCGAGCTCCGGACCTTTGTGCGAGGACTCTATTATTCTCTGCATCATCATCATTGTCATCATTGGGTACTGCGGGGAAAACAGCTTGACCTGACTTTTACTCTCTGCTGTTCAGTAGTAACGTCTGGTACATTTCACTCAGTGATCACTAAATGCATCTAATTTGTCCGAGATCGGGTGGTAATCATCACGGGAGATTAGAGTGCACTAACTAAATTCGCTCGGGGAAGTCCCTTCGACACGGCAGCATGGCGAGCTGTATGCTGCATCCCAGCGGAGCGGTGGGGGTACGGCTCTCGCGATTGGTTGATTTGTGGCGAGGCGGCCTCAATTGGCCGTCCTCTTTAGGTGAGGCGTGGCTTACTTAAATGTGCGGAGCCGGTGTGTGTTTGCTTTGTAATTATGAATATGATTTGATATGCTGTAATAACAAAAGAAGCGAGGGGAATTAACCAGGCATGATTGTCGGTCATATTCCGGACAATGGGGCTGTTATTTAGACAACGCTGATGAAACAATTTAAATTTAGTGCCGGCGAAAATATTATTAGCGTCGTGTTTTATTGCGTACGTACGTCCCTTTCCGCAAATGCCCAGCCAACATCATCCACAAAAACCACCCCTACCACCTACAACTACCTCTCTCATACCTACAACTTCCATTCGCACCGTTTTATAATTACATGAAAACGCATTGTAGTTTCGATTTTACCGGATTGTCCAATCTAATTACTCGTCTCTCGCTTTAATATTCAACGCACATTCCCGCACGTAATCCGTCCATTGATTGTCCGAACAACGGCAAACAACAACAACAACAATAACAACTCAGTCCGAAATTTTGCGACAATAATTAATCATCGTTTAGAGCTGAGCCTCGTCCGCTCTTTCGCTTTATTTATTAATCAGGCAATTTCATCTTTGTTACGGATAAGTGGATTCATTATCCTCCCTTCGTTTCGCTTTCCGCAAATAAACGAGGGTGTCTTTTCCGAAAACCGGAGCCGCGTCTTCATCCCCATAATCATCATCATCAGCGTCATCGTCAATCCCACGAGGATTTAATTAATTAAATAATTCTCCTCGGGTCCTTAACAAACCGCAGAATTTATTAAACGTCGCGCATGCATAGAAGACAATCCTCCAAGGCTTACTCACATTAACAATACAACGACTTCAACTTTTACAGTTTAATTAAGAAAATTATACAGTTTAACAACAAAAAACTTGTTTATTTCTTTTATTATTTCACGACTCACATTTACCTCTTAATTCAAACATGATTTAACACTTTCTATTATTTCAAGATTTTTCATACACTTTTTAAGTAAATAATATAGATTTACACGGTTCCTGAGAAAAACGTGTAAATTGAAATTGTAACTTTTTTAATGTAAAACCGTGTAAGGAAAGTACCGTGTAAAAAGTAGGGATAGGTCTATACTGAGTTTACTATTTCAATGAATAAAAGTGGTTTATTATTCAAAGTTTACTTAATTATAATGAATAAATTTGTGTGGATGCGCCGGGAAATTCACATATTAATTTAATTCATCCTATTTTTAATTATTGATTGAATTAATAAATTTAAATTTAATTATTTCTACTTTTCTACATTTCGTTTTTTTTTCTATTGTGGATAGTTTCGATGGCGAAATGTAAAATTGAATTTCTTATGGGATTCTTCAAAGTGAGTCGAGTGCAGGACCCTGTGGACAGACGAAAAACGTAATCAGGGTAAACCTAGGAAAGTGTTATATTGTGTGTTTGATTGAAATCATTACCCAGTTTAATCGTATTTGTATAGAGCGAGGGGAGGTCGTGGCTGGCTGTGTATGTGTGTGCGATTGTCGTTGTGTATATATGAATGTGTGTATGTGTGTGCGCTGGGTTGGTGGGGGTGTTGGTGGGAAGGGCCGTGGTTTGGAATGCGAAGGAAAAGGGGCTTCGGTTTGGACCCTGCGGCCAGCACCACTTACTAAGCTCGGACCCGGTGTAAGTAGCAGATGTGTCAATTTCATTTCAATCAGCGGATAATAGAGGCCGTAATGGAATCAGTCCTTGCTCTATTTGCCAACACTTGAACGGCCGATCCCTTTTAACTCGACCGCCCTTGGGATTCAAATCAAACTCGAACTCCTTTTCTCGCATGCAGACGCACGGACAGACATCAGTAGTAGCAGCAACAAAATACAGGGTTCATGCCAGATGTAAGTGGGGGAGTTGGATGATGATCGAAGCGAATGATTTGAGGCGGGAGAAAAATTATAGTGGAAGGATCAACATATAATTTTCTACTCAACGCCTCCAATCTTATCTATATAAGATTATTTATTAAGATCTAAGTAATAAGAAATAATCCAAGAATTAATATACTTTTTTTGAATTTATATTAACAAATAATTAAATAATTTATGATTTTTTATATTAGAAGATTGAAAATTGAAATTTACATGTATATTTATTAGAATTTGAAAAATTGGAAAGAATTTACCAATAATTATATATTTTCAAAGATTTCATAGTAATATTTATTATTTTTATATATTGGAAGATTGAAAATTGAAAGTTACATAATAAGAAAGAATCTACTAATAATAATATATTTTCAAAGGTTTCATAGTAATATTAATGATTTTTATATATTGGAAGATTGAAAATTGAAATTTACATAATAAGGAAGAATCTATTAATAATTATATAATTTCATAATAATATTTATGAATTTTACATTTTAGAAGACTGAAAATTGATATTTAAAAATACATTTAGTAGAATTTGAAAAATTGAAAAGAATTTACCAATAATTATATATTTTCAAAGATTTTATAGTAATATTTATGATTTTTATATATTGGAAGATTGAAAATTGAAATTTACATAATAAGCAAGAATCTATTAATAATTATATAATTTCATAATAATATTTATGAATTTTACATTTTAGAAAACTGAAAATTGATATTTAAAAATACATTTAGTAGAATTTGAAAAATTGAAAAGAATTTACCAATAATTATATATTTTTAAAGGTTTCATAGTAATATTTATGAATTTTGTATATTGAAAGATTGAAAATTGAAATTTACATAATAAGGAAGAATTTACTAATAATTATATAATTTCATAATAATATTTATGAATTTTACATTTTAGAAGACTGAAAATTGATATTTAAAAATACATTTAGTAGAATTTGAAAAATTTAAAAGAATTTACCAATAATTATATATTTTTAAAGGTTTCATAGTCAAATTTATGAATTTTGTAAATTAGAAGATAGAAAATTGAAATTTACATAATAAGGAAGAATCTACTAATAATTATATAATTTCATAATTATTTCTATAAATTTGACTCAAAATTATTAATTATGATTTGAACAATTAGAAGCTTTGAACAATAAGTAATGCAAGAATTCATATAATTCCAACAATGTTCACTAACGTTTTTTATTTTCCATTATCATTTCTTATTATAAATAAAATATTATAGAAAACAAGTATTTCTTTAATAAAAATTCTCGTTTTGTTTTTCCTTTTAAACCTTAATTTTTCAATTCAATTTGTATTAATTTAGTTACCATTAATACCAATAATTTTCTACTCAACGCTTCCAATCTTATCTATGAAGATTATTCAAGACTATTTATTAAGATCTAAGTAATAAGAAATAATCCAAGAATTAATATACTTTTTTTGAATTTATATTCCCAAATAATTAAATAATTTATGATTTTTTATATTAGAAGATTAAAAATTGAAATTTACAAGTATATTTATTAGAATTTGAAAAATTGGAAAGAATTTACCAATAATTATATAATTTCATAATTATTTCTATAAATTTGACTCAAAATTATTAATTATGATTTGAACAATTAGAAGCTTTGAACAATAAGTAATACAAGAATTCATATAATTCCAACAATGTTCACTAACGTTTTTAAACATTTTCCTCTGTCCTTTCTTATTATAAATAAAATATTATAGAAAACAAGTATTTCTTTAATAAAAATTCTCGTTTTTTTTTCCTTTTAAACCTTAATTTTTCAATTCAATTTGTATTAATTTAGTTACCATTAATTAATGACTTATTGATCAACATATAATTTTCTACTCAACGCTTCCAATCTTATATATGAAGATTATTCAAGATTATTCATTAAGATCAATAAGAAATAATCCAAGAATTTATATACTTTTTCTGAACAGAAAGACATATATTCCCAAATATTTAAATAATTTATGATTTTTTATATTAGAAGATTGAAAATTGAAATTTAAAAGTATATTTATTAGAATTTGAAAATTTGGAAAGAATTTACCAATAATTATATATTTTCAAAGATTTCATAGTAATATTTATTATTTTTATATATTGGAAGATTGAAAATTGAAAGTTACATAATAAGAAAGAATCTACTAATAATTATATAAATTCATAATAATATTTATGAATTTTAGATTTTAGAAGACTGAAAATTGATACTTAAAAATACATTTAGTAGAATTTGAACAATCGAAAAAAATTTACCAATAATTATATATTTTCAACGATTTTATAGTAATATTTATGATTTTTATATATTGTAAAATTGAAAATTAAAATTTACATAATAAGTAAGAATCTACTAATAATTATATAATTTCAATAATTTCATAATTATTTGTATAAATTTGACTCATAATTATTAATTATGATTAGAACATATAATTCCAAGAATGTTTTTAAAAAATTTCATCTATTCTTTCTTAAAACAAATATTTAATAATTATTTAATTATAAAAATCTTCAAATATTTCTCTTTAATTATGTATAATTATAATAAAATATTATAGAAAACAATACAAATTCTCGTTTTTTTTTCCTTTTAAAACTTAATTTTTCAATTCAATTTGTATTAATTTAGTTACCATTAATTAATGAATTATTGAAGTATAAAAATAATTAATTTTGATGAAAAAAATAATAGTTTAAAAATTTTCAGGAAATATCAAATTATATTAGAAAAAAAATAAATAGCTTTAATTTGTTTCTTATGTAACAGAAATAATATATAAATTAAAAATGTCTGAATGATAAATATTTGTACAACTGAAAGCATTTATTATTTAAGAATATAAAAATTGAGCTTAAATATATTAAATGTGCGTTTAGTATTAATTTGATTTGTGTGGTGTTTCTCTCAAAAAACTATAAACTTG